CTAAATTACCCTGTTATACTCTCCCATCGACGCAGCACCACAGTTTCTTTAGAATCTTAACCCCTTTTTTCTTCTGTCTGTCAGTTCGTTCGGTTTTGTGGTCTTGTAACTGCGAAGACTCGAAGCGAAAACATTCTTATTTGAATTACTGTTTTCCGTAAACCTTACAAGGCAGAATAATTTGCTTAGATTCGCATCGAAGTCCCTTGCACTTGTTGTTGATGTAAGAAGATACACGTAATCCAAATCTTTTGAGAGTAAAGGTCTTAGATAGTGCACAAGGAAAGGTTTTCAACACAACATTACGACAATCCTTGAGACACGCTCACTAAGAAATTTCGCGTTTTATCTTTTGATAGATTCTCCTTATGTGCAAATGAAAGGCGCTGAACGCAAATGGAAACTTTCTTTCACATGTTGCGTTGTAAGCCATCACTTGGGCTGTAAAAATCAAAGCTAGTAAGGATTTATCCTCGGCTATATATCAATGATACTTAAATAAAGCTATTGATTGAGTTACAAAGTTTTGCGAATATGTTTGATCCTTTAGTAAAATAGGAAGGTTATTAAACATTGTATTGTTCAGAGTCAAACCTTCCTCAATGTTTTGCAACCGAACTTTACAAAAAAGAAATTTTGGAAGCTAACTCAAGTTTCGTTGCTCCATGTTTTTACTGACCTTACTGTAATCAAGGTAAACTTTAACTCCTGTTTACAAAATAAATCATATTTACCTGTACTCAGCAGATACTTGGCGCTTGTTTCGTTTCACATCGGTTACACATATTGTTAATTCTGGTCATTGAGACAAGCAAGTCAGCTTAGGCCGCTTCTGTGTCGTAATAATAAACATTGTGATGATTTCAGAGAGAACTTGTCAGATTCCCTCACTCCTAGCGTACTTCAAACTCTGTTTATTCGCACGTATTAAAATATGTATAAACATGAGCAAATTAGCTGTTAAGTCTGCTCAAATAAACAAAGAAAAAATCGCGAAACAATGCCTAATAACGCTATTTATTTACCAAACGCTCCCGACGCGTTCAATGCGGATCCTTTGTGAGGCTTAAGTAAACTTGTGGATTAGAAATCAGCAAAAAAATCTCTCGGTATGTGTTCAGAATATTAACAAGACATACAACTATGAAAAAACTTTCAGGATAATGATGCTACTCTGAAACGTGTTCATTGAAATTTCGGTTTAAAATATGTATCATATTTTGTAGCAAAGAATTTTCACAGCTCTGGCGTGAACGAAAATAAATGCAACCGAAAAAAGAAGCCTCTACTATTAGATTAATTCTTACAAGGGTTCTACATTAATTAAAGAACATGTTTAAAACTAAACATAAATGAGGAAGTTGTTTAATAATTAACCAACAACGTAAAATACTTCAAAATAACCTGAAAGACATAATTATTTTTTAATTAGTTTTCAATGCCGACATTTCTTTGTTCCTGACTGCATTGCAACTTCATTCAAACAAACCGTCATGCTAAGGACTCATCTAAAACCAAAATTAATGCTTTTATCAAAAGACTAATCGAGCTAGATTTCAAATTTTCGAAACGCTTCTTGTGATTTTGCAAAGATGAAAGGAAAACATTCGTTTATTTGTCATCTTTATATCAATATTGGTGACAGCCCCGTCGCCTAGTTACATCTTATCCTGAACCGACGTCATAGTTGTGCAGAGTGCCGTCATGACGCATTACAGTTTACACTACCTCATTGCCAGGTGACTCTCTCTCTCCGTTACCTCTGTTGTTGGATCAGTAACCTGGGATCGAGCCTTATTCTTTGAAGATTTCGCAAACGCCTCATTTTGGATCGCGTGACACTCAACGGTGATCAACATCACCTCCTGACAGATCCAAAAATGCATTCTTTCCGTTTTAATTGAATGATGCTTTTGGTTTTTGCTGTATTTTGTGTCGTTCTGTTTTCAACAAGAGTTCAGGCAAAGATGGTTCCGCCTAATTTCTCACGGTGACGTTTGATCTCGGACGGCTCCGCCTTATTTCGGAAGGCCCCATTCGTTACTGAAGGTTTAGTCTAATTTTTTTTACTGTTCCGTCTGTTTCTTTCGTTGGTCCCGTTAAGGTTCGGAAGATTCGATCTCAAATGGGTTAATTTAGGCGGATGTTTCAGTGCATTTCGTGCTTCCTCTTAAACATGACCCAAAAGCAATCTTACTAATGTACGGTTTTACCCCTTGAAATTGCACATCAATAACGGAGAAATCACCTTGTGCTTCTGCTAAATTGGCCGATATGAGGCTACACTCAAATATTTGCTTAGGCGCTTAATCCCTTCAGAGATCAAAGACGATTCCAGAATCATCGATCATTCATGTCGAAACATTGCGATAAATTTTCGACGAATTTTATTTAATTACTTCATTAAAATTATTAATATTAAGCTCAGTTGTCAAAGGGCGGCAATAAGTCCGTGTGAGCATAAATCTGTGATCTGTTAGAAAAACGATATCGAGTCATCGCTCTCGCTCAGGAGAGCTGCAAATCAAATGTGCGATGACTTTAGCTTGTGTTGGTATTGCTTGGTAGTTGCGGCAAGGGCGTTTCTTCGCTCGCGAAGGCCTGGGGCAAAGTGAGCCGGCGAAAAGTGTGCAAGAGGTCTGACACTAATAACGAGTGCCTGTTCGCAGGCTAACTGCTGACCACCAATCAAAACGCGTGTTCTGAACAGGTAGTATGTCCAGCTGGCCAAATGTCGAGAGCAAAAAAATCAAAATGAAAAGTGAATGTTAGAGGTGTCATTTACCTCACTGTCTATACACAGACAGCATTCTCTATTATCGTCTTACTGGAAGATCCTGATAAATTGTTCAAACACCCCATGAGACCTGTCAGTGAACCTTCTCCCCGGCACTTGAAGCATAAGGGAAGTCGCCGACGATAAATATTTAGAAATTTTGCAGTTATCACTTCTTCCTCCACTCTATTAAAAAGATTTCCCAAATCATTTAATGAAGATAAGTTAAATTTAAGTTCTTTTCGGAGAGGACGCTTTATTTTTCTCTGTTGTGGTCACTGACGCAGTTGTTTCAGTTAATGGCTCCGTTTGATGCCATTCTACTTTTTGCTTGTGTTGTCGTACAGCTTCTTCCACTCTTTCATCCATCATATCCTCTGTGAGGACACCATCTGGCGAACCATAAGCGCTGGCCTGGAATGACAGAAAAATCCTAAATCAGTCTTGAACGTAATCGAATTTCTTGGTTCAATTTTGCGCGCTCTTCAATTGCGTGTTACAAAAGTAAAATTAATTACGACGTGAAAGCTGCAGTCAATATTAATCGAGGCAAATCAAGATTATATTGGCCAATGATTACACAGAGTAAACACAGGTGATTGCTCCAAGGCGCGTTTGTAATCACGACTGCTTTTAGTTTTTCATCTGACTGGTTGAGCTGAAAGGTGACTCGAGTTGTCCTAATGAATCACAAAGCGAAGTAGAACAAAACCAAAGAAATTCTGATTCAATTTTGACACTTGAATAAAAACCATTTCACCAGCGATTTCCTCAAAACTTACCTGCCAAGCAATCGCTATTTTTGATATTTCTCTTCCAGAGAGACCTTCTGTCACTTCGGCAATTTGCTGGCATTTCTTGCTAAAGTCGAAGTTCGCAATTTTCATACGACTAAAAAGTGAAGAAAATCAAATCAAGAATAATACGAAAATAGACTGGAAACACGTAAACAGCCAACCAAAGAGATAACTGAGGCTGGAAGTGTTGTGCAGGAAAATAAATGTGAAGACAAATGCCACTACATGTGAAAAAATTTTAGCGTTTTCTGACGATTGAGTGTCGCGAAACAAGAAGGGAGATACCACAAGGAGCCGATAAAATTCAGTTTAAAATAAGACATTAAATTGCAATGGAAGAAATCTTGAGAGACCAAGTCGCGGCTGGTTTCAATTTTGCATAGCATCGGTCGAAAGAATGGCGCGATTTCTCAAGACCAATCACGGTACTAGGTGATGCAAAACTAACAAAACACCGAACTATTCCTGACACTCTCTTGACAACTACTGCAAAAATTACCATTTTCTAAGCAATTTACCTTGTTCGCGATCCTGTTGTGGCCGGTTTTAAAACGTGTTCCTCGAAATACTGCCGGACTAAACGTACTCGTTCCTCGAGAGTTGGCAGACCAAACTCAATCATCTCGTCTAACCGGTCATTGATGGCCCAGTCAAACTGGTCAGGCTGGTTACTAGCGAGAACTAACATGAACCTGTACGAAAAAAACAAACAAACAAGTGAACAAAAAGGAACAAAGAATAAACATCATCCAGTCGTGACACCTGGCCATCATCGCAGAAATGTAATAATCAGTGATAAAAAGAATGTAACAAAAGAAACTCGAGGAATTCACTGCATGCAGTTATTTTTAAACATCAACAAAAATGTGAACTGACTCGACGACAACTAAATTGAAAAAATTTGAAAGAGCTTACTTGCGTGAAGATTCACCAGTTCTGTAAAGAAAAGCGTTCAATGTGCTTCTCAGGTCCTCGCTCATCTTTTCCTAAATAGTCAAAGAAACCTTTCTACTAAGTCGCGCCAAGCGCGGAAAAATGCGGGTGACCAAATTACTATTGGTTTCGGTATGGAGCGCTTTTGGATTGAGTGGCGTAAAACCAAACCAAAGTAACCACAATGGCCTATCAGCTAAAAAGGAGAATACCCAGAATAGCAAATGAGAACTTAAAGTAAAAAAGCAAACCGCCTAAAGCGCGGGAAAACGCGGGCGACCAAGTCGTGATTGATTTCAGTTTTGCTTCTTATTGGTTGAGAGAGTCGCGCAAGTTATTTGGACCAATCACAGAGCGAAGTAAGGCAAAACCAATGCAATCCCGGAAAAATCTCGATCCTCAGTTTAAAATTGCTTGAACGTCTGTTTAATTGACTTGGTGATGAGCAGTTTTCTCAATTACCAAGAACATTCTTACCTGATTACGTTTGCGTAAGAAAGCATCAGCCTCGTCCACAAAGAGAAGAAGACTGAAAGCAAGAAAAAAGCACAACGGAAAATGAAATCACGAAGAGTTGCCATGATAACAGCATCAAATCACATCTGTTCCTCTTACCCTCTCCTAGAGGTCTGGGCCCAGTCAAACACTTTGTGCATGGCTGTCACTCCTTCCTTTCCCATAGGAACAATATCTCCACCAGTCATAATACCATAATCCATCCCAGAATGCTTGGCAAGGCTCTGGAAGATAAGTGCAAATAAGTATAAGCGTTCTGTCACAAATGCTACACTCTGATTGGCTACCAACTCGCTATCTATTTAGAGATAGATGGTGACTTGACTGAGTTGCCCAAAAATATGTTGTATCTGCATTTTCCAGTAGACACTCGAGCTTGTCCCGTCGTTAAGTTTTGAAAGACAAGTGGATTTATTCTAAAAAAATTAGCTTAATCGCTTTCAATTTCTAGGAGCAATAGCTTATTCAGGATTTAAATTCCGGAGCTCATATTCGAATAATCAGTTATAATGTGAAAAAGTCAAGTTGCTTTACTGGCCAAAACGACCATCTCGCCAGAATTTACCCTGGTATCAGCAGCTGAAGAGATTTGGAGCAAAGCTTACGCCAGTCCAGAAAAGAAACTATTGCGCTGTGCTGGCGAGCCAAAGAAACTCTTTCAACTTGAAGCTGATTTAGGCAGCCGCTTAAGCAAACTTTGAAAATTGACGTCAGAGCGAAAGGACTTTTTTCTAAGAGCGGAATAGATGAAGCTACTCTGTAAACGTTGAATCACTTATAAAAAGGGCTGGCCGTCTGTCTGCCGAATGTTGGCTGACTGTCGGCCGACAGGTCTTTCAGGAAGTTGTTCTTCATAATTATCCAAATTTTTAATTACGATCTGAAAGCTAGTCTTCTCACCTTTGCAAACATCGTTTTTCCAGTCCCTGGTGGACCATAAAACAGTAGATTCCTGTACAGTCCTTTGTTTTTCTTTGTATTCGCTGTTGCTTTGCTTACTTCTTGAAGTCTCTTTTCAAGACTGGGCTGTAACGAGAAAATATTTGACAAACACATTAAGGGAAAGATTGCTAGCGCTTACGATAGGAGCACTTCAAATCCTTCAAATTATCAACAATTTCAGCCATTAACCAAATGTCACGTGTACTTACCCTCAAAATAATTCCTTGCAATGAGTCTTCAAAATTTACAAACATTTTCCTAACAGTCTGGAAAGTAAACAAATTATACGAGTTAGCACATCCTGGCATAGGTAAAAACCAAAGGAGGAGAGGAAAAAAAAGGTAGAAAGTGCTGGTTTTATTATAAGTACCTGAACTGGGTGACGCAAAGTACCAAAAACACTTAATCTTGATGTGTCACGAACAAGACTTGGTTTCCCTAAGCGAGCTTCAATGAATCTATAAATGCAAAGAAAAAATAATAAAGGAGTTTGGTAGTTGACATGATTTAAACCTTTACACCCTAACATCAGTAAGTATATTCTCCACACTATTCTCTAGACATTTTGTCATGTGCAAACAAAGAGAATTTGTGTAACAATCGAGAGCTTCTTTACTTGACGATAATTTCCTTTATTCTTGTAACGTTAATGTGTGATTCTGGGCTGATATGGTAAGGAGAAATTAGATGCTAGTCACTTGTAGGGTTCAAAGGGTTTGTAAGTAAAGTGTGCTGAATATCCCACCTGGCTGTGACTCCTGTGCCATATTTAGCTGTGTAAACGCCAAGTGCAAGGAGGGTGAGGCCTGCAGCCTGCAAAAAGAGACACATAACAGTGACTCAGATGTCTGAAATTCCACTGATCTACTAAGAGCTGTACATAAGGAACAAGGGATAGGGAAGAGGTGAAAGCGTTTGCCTCCCTCTGTTGCACCTCGGAGTGTGATTAAAAAAGATCCACAGTCATATCTGGGCAGAGGATGTTATTGGTTCTTCTCCTTGATAGAAAAACTTTCCTCTAGATTCTTTGGTTTTTCCTGCTGCATCAAAACTCAACCTTTCTTATTCAAATCTGACCAGGAAATGGTGGACATGGAGAGTCCCTTGTGGGTGTTCACCACTGAATTCACTTTATAAGTTATTCACAAATGTATACGTGTAGGCATCAGTCTTACTGTGGCAGATATCTTATCCCAGTCTGAGATGAAGGCATCAAATCCTGCTCCAAGGATGCTACCTGCTGTCCTGCAAAACAAAAATAAGTCACCATCTGTAACACTGGAACATAGTTACAGAGAAACCAAGCTGCATATTCTGTGTTCCTCCTGAGGAATTATGTGTTCCACATGTGTATCATAATGAATAACATCCTTCTTTATTTGATGACTGGGCTCTAAATTTACTTTCTCTCTTAACCAGAATCCCTGACAAATAGCATAATCGGCACTTACTTGATTGATTGCAGAACAGTCTCTCTTTGCTCTGCAGCTTTGAGTTTAATCTGTTCCATTCTAATGTCCTTGTTCTCACGTTCTATTTTAGCTCTGAAAATAATGGGTATGCAGATCAATCAGTCATTAATTAGTCAATCAATTTATCAATCTATCCACAATTCATTTAATTGTGTACATATTTTTGTAAAGAGAACACAAAAAAAAATTAAGCAAAATTATGAACTATAATGATTGACAAAAATTTGGATGGCTCCCAGTTATAATGTCAATTGATTTGTTGGGTGATCACTGATGACAGTTCCAACGAGGCAAAGCCTTTAAACCCTGAGAGTGACCAGCATCTAATTTCTCCTTACAGTAATATATCTGAATCATTCATTAAGATCATGAGAACAAAGGAAATGATCACCAACTGGAGAGTCTTTGATTGTTCAACAAATTCTCCTTGTCAGTACTGAAGAAAATGTATAGAGCAGAGTGTGGAGAATATGGATATTGATGTTAGGGTGTAAAGGGTTAACTTTTCCATTACCAAGATCTCATTAGTAATTCTCCTTACTGTCTTCCATAAAATTCTTATGATGTTAGTTTGGGAAATATGATAGTGGATCAACTATTGATCCCCTAATTGATATTTTTGTTTATTCTCATCACTTGTCTTCCTGATATCGTGTTGATAACGTAAGGAGAAATTCTGTCTTAGTCACTCGCAAGAGTTGAAGGGTTTGGGGAAATGTCAACTGCAAAAAGGGACAGAATCAGACATTTTCAGAGTCAGGCGAAGACATGCTGGAAGGAAGAGAGGTACAAAGGTATCATCAAAGGCATAAAGGCTCACAGAACTTAACAAACCCTTTATTTTAGTTTTTTCTTCTTTCAGATAATAAAAAATTATCCACTCCAGAGCCCCACCATAATCTTCATCTCCCAAGCTCACTCCCTCCAAGCTGGTAATTTAGAAGGAACACATTATAGCTTTCTTAGAAATTTAGAAAACTGATTTATCACTTACTTGCCACGGAGCTCTGCTTCCAGTCTTTTCATTTCATTGTCATGTTTTATCTGGGCTTCATATTCAATTGTGCCTGCAAAGGGGATGTAATGAGATGATCAATATAGATTGTAGTAACATACTATTATTTAACCAAAGTCTTGTTAGAGTTGGCCACTATCATGAACCATTCTGGTATAATTATCAGTTCAGTTTAAAAAATAAATTGTGGGTTGTGTGATGAATGCATTGCTGAATATCACAGTAACCATTGAATGAAGGGGGTTAGTTTCTTAAAACTGTGGGGCTGCATTGGTGGGGATTATTTAAAGGTAGTTTTTGTTTTATCAACTGCATTCAACTTGATAATGTAAATTGGCCACCGAAAAGAGTTTCAAAGCTGACATTTTGAGCCTTGGCCCACATCAGAGCAAATAGTAAACTTTGTTTGATTAAAGCTTGAATTCCAGAAAAATTTTTAAACTGATAAGTTTGCAAAGATAAAACGTCAAATGAAATGTCTAATCTTGGTTTCAAAGCAAATTAACTATGTTTATTTTATGAAAACAGCCTTATGTACCTCTTTTCATGGCTTCTTGTTTCTTCACTGACTCTTCCTGTTTAGCTAAATTTTCTTCATTCATACGACGCTAAAAGAATATTTTTCAAATTGTTAATATCTACAAAAAATGGCATCACTTACAATAATGTATTTCTTACTTCCCTGGTATCCATTAATTAATCCCATAAATGTTAAGAGCAACCAGCATCTACTTTCTCCTTACGGCGATACTGCTGATTCAGTCATTAAGATCATGAGAATACAAGAAATGGTCACCAACCTAAGAAGTTTTGATTGTTACACAAATTCTCCTTGTCAGTACCCAACCAATTGAATAGAGAAGAGTAGGAGAATTTAGAAACAAGTGTTAGGTTGAAAAGGGTTCATGTAATTTGTAATGTGACACAAGTCAAAGCAAGAAACAAAATAGTTGACCAAGATTACTTTCCAAGACCCTATTGATTAACTTTGTTAACTTGTCAGTTAAATACTGAATATAAAGTTTAAACTAGAAAAACTACGTAAAGGGTTCTGCAGTCAAGGTAGCCCCTGCTTCACCCTCAATGATGGCCTATATGTATGTTACCTGTTGTGAAAGTTGATCATCGTAACGTTTCCTTGCTAGCTGGTCTTGGTACTGAGCACGCTGATGAACAAGTAAATAAAAGATAATTAGTTTCTTCAAAGGGGTTGAGCTGAAATCAACTTGAACTGTAGCAAAGATGGTAAATATTGGGATATTAAAAAAGTTATCATGTTAAAAACATAGGAGGGTTTTGAGATACTAGCCTAAGAGGGTTAACCCTTTGTCCCCTAAAAGTGATTGACATCTAATTTCTCTTAATGATATCACCCCTGATCAACACATTTAGGGTCATGAGAACAAAGGAAATGATCACAAACTACTGAAGCTCTTGATTGTCAAACAAATTCTCCTTGTCAGCACCTTAGGAAATGTGTGCAGAACATTAGGGAGAATACATCTATGCATACTGATGTTTTGGTTTTTAGGGTTGAAGATTTCAGGGATTTTATTAATATTAGTTAGGAGCTTGAGATGTCCAGGAGGAAGGGGTTTTTTGTCGAGATACTGGGCAGGGGGTTAAATTATTGTTACTAACCTGTTGATGTTGTTGAGTTTCTGCTGCAAGGGTTTTCCTCTTTTCCTCCTGTTCCACTCTCACTTTGTCCATTTGTATCTGTTGGATGCTTGCTTCATATTCCTGCAAATCAATGAGAGCTACTCAGGTCAAGTCTCCTCAACTCCCAAGATTTCATTTGTAAATCTCCTTTCTATTTTCTATAAATTTCCTCTGATCAGCATGGAGAATTTGGTGTTGTATCGATCCAACAACCTATAAATGATAAATTTATCTTTTCTCATCAATTCTTTATGAGGAAGTGCACCAGCAATGCAGGGAAAATTTACATATTAATCATTTCTGAGTAAAACGTTGGGATTACTCAAGCCTAGCCTGGTGGGGCAGGAGAGCCTCTCCTTCTGAGGGGGAGGGGTTTGTTGGGGTACTGATCAGACCATTTCTTCTAATATAACTGAAACTTTTTCAAAGTTTACAACATGAATATCTGCAGCTGCCTCAAGTTTTAGACATACTTAATATGGAAAAATAATGAAAAATGAGAAAACCAAGATGGGTGTTGAGATGCAAAAATTACCATATACCCTAGTAAACAAGACCCCTAGAGCTATAAATGGACTCGATAACTTTAACTCTTTAAGTCCAAAGGGGGATTAAAAGTAAGTTCTCCTCACGACATCTCTATATTGTCAAGCAAACAGGTGATGAGAATATTCAAACCTATCAGGTAAAAGTTATCTTGATCTAACAAGATATTTCCCTGACTAACTAACGAGGAAATGTCTTTAAAGCAGCTAGAATCAGATCTTGAGAGTCAAGGGTTAATGGGTCAAAACACCACTTGACCAAAAGAAAAATAGACAAACAATGCACACTCATCACGTTTCTCAGATCCCTACGTAAAGTATCAATAAAATTTATTCACCTTAATTTTACGCTGTTGCTCCAATTGCTTTGTTGCTTCCTGAACTCTTGCCATCTCAAGAGCCTCCTTCGAGTGATCTAAAATGTGCAATTATAGAATCAGTCTATTGTCTCTTATTAGTAACTCACCTACCTCTCCAAAAGGCCTCCTTTTCATGAAATATTTCTTTTTCAGGCAGGTATGCTTGTATGCCTATGGGAAGACTCTTTCTCATTTTCACTTGTAATGAGCCCTATTATAACACTGCTCAAGGTTGCAATACAAAGGTCTAATCGATAAAGGCAAGTTAGAATCACAAGTCTGTGATTTTTTTCTCCAGACCAGGGGAGGAGACAAATTCTTTCCTCACCCTCCCCTTCCCTTGTCTTTTATTCTTCCCCTTGGTGGAAATGTTTTTCCTTCCTCAGCCATCCTCTACCAAAAAAATCTAAGATAGTAAAAAATTATTTTAAACCAAAAGGGAAACCTCTTTTGTTAAAGCCTAGGCTCCAGGTCCTTGCTTTCTAACAGGACAACAACACTGCAGACTATATTCAATGAACAAAAACTTTTGTTTGACCTCAGTGGACATGCATTTAATTCATTGATACTGGTGATATACATATCTGAGTTGATATATTTGTGGTCATGCCATCAGCTATTCTTAAATTAGACTTGGAACATTTTCCATTTATTCATTTGGTCATTTAAGTGGATTTTGTGATGTCACCGCATTTTTTAATCCCCTTACTCTATATAAATAGGTGACTTGTAACCATTGTGCCACAGTCTTACAAATATAGAAATTTATTGAGATATCGGTCAGCTGAAATGCCAGTTATGCTAGCTGTTGCATTGCATAAATCATACGGAAATTATGAGGGTGGAGGGGTGGAGGCATGGCAGGGGTGGGGATAGGGATAAAATCTGTTGATTAAGACCGATGGGTAAATAAATGTGAAACATTTGACATAAAACCTCTCGCTGACAGAAGCAATCTTACTTATCGAACCTCAAATAACTTTCGTGTTAGGATTCAAGAGTGATGCAATATCACTCCTAAATCACATCGAACTTTATTCGTAACTTACACATCAGCTGTTTTTGTGCCACGAGTACGAGTCACTGTACTGTGTACCAAAAAGATTGCCAACAAGTTATCTCCAGACGTCAGATCAACACACTTACGTGATTTCTCGAGTTCCCTTGCAGCTTTAGCAGCCCTTTCAAGACCCGACGGATCGAAGCTTCTCCAAACAGGGGCACCTTTGGAGCCTTCATTCTCTGAGTTCTCATCCTTCGATCCTTCATCTCCTCCACTTTTATCGTCTCCTCCCGGCGGAGAACCCGGGATCAACGGAGGCCCCTCACCAGGTGAGGAAGGCTTGTTAACTCCAAATAACCAGGACATCAAGAAGGTACGCAATCTCCTCCACTTGGGGAAATTTTTTATAGGTTTTCAACTGATGTCTGATGTAAGTTCCCACACGTGCAAAACTTCGAACCGGTGACCTCGTTTTCGCACAACGGGTAGCTCCGCTGTAAACTAAATTGCGGTTCACAGTACAGATGACGTCACTGCCTAGTATATCTAGTGGTGGAAAAGGGAAGTTGGATTAGCTCTAACATACATTTGTTGCATTGATTTTGATTCGGTTGCGTACTTCAAATTGGAAAAATGTAAGTATAATCTGTTTTTGTTAAAAAAAACCTACACTTCGCGGCAAAATTCGTCAAATGTACTTTATGTTTTCGTTACAAATCGGTTGCGTAAATTTGGCGGCAGTTACAAGAGTATGAGATAGATCACACAACCCAAATGGAGTTGTTTGCCAAGTTCTATTTCTCTCAAAGTGAAAACTTTTTGGTTCTTCAAATTTCAGGTCGAACAAAAGGTTACAGCAAACGCAAGCCCAAGTGGATGAGGTAATTTCAACATTTTGAATGTGTTAATACTGATCTGTTCCGTTGGAACAGCCCCATTTAAGAATTTTTCACGTTGTAGGAAATTCATTTACTGCTTAAGTCTTCCGTCAAGTTATCCTCTATCGTTTTCTAACGTTGTTATTCCATCGAAGCTCGAATTGAATGCTTGACGTATTTGTCTTTTGACTTCTATCAGGTCGTCGACATCATGAAAGTGAATGTCGACAAAGTGTTGGAGAGAGATGCTAAATTGTCAGAACTTGATTCTCGAGCAGGTAGGGAAAGGAGCATGGTCTGTTATTATTTGTGCGCGTTTAAACTTGTTTACCGGGCAAGTTTTTCGTAACTCTTGTTTCTCTGTAAAACATAATCAAGAAAAATTTTTAAATTTTGTTGAAAAATCTATATTGGATAACTTAAAATCAACCATTCCATGTTTTCATGACTCATTATAATGAGCGATCCATATTAAATAGTATAATCTTAGATTGAAATCAGTCATTGTTATCCAAATGACGTAAGTTAACTTTTTCGTACCTCTCAAAGTGGCAACAGTCGTAATTTTATTAATTTTGTGAATACTATAGATTATTGTTTGCTTGTCAAAGTTTGACTGCGGTGGCTACAGTTTTCGATTATTCTATAAACAAACAATCTTGCGTTGTACTAATATACTTGATCAATTACTTGGTCAAGGCATGAAAACAAGTTTCGTGTTCTTTCCTTTACAAATGAGAATTAACATACCAGAACTTAACGTGCCGTTTTTACATTGTCAAGTACCGAAAAATGTTTGTAATTTTTACACAAATTCGTACTCAATATGATAATTATAGAGCATTCTACTTTTAGTCAGTTTAGGACAGCTGAGAATTGGTGATAGCATTGGAAATACTTCCTTCAGTAAACAGGAAATAAAACACATCTTTACCATTCTTGTGATTTGTAATATTAGGTAGATCCCTTTATGAATATTTCTCAGAACAGGCACAGTTGCATATATGTATTTTTTTTTAATCAAGTGTATTGCAAATTTTTGCAGGAATGCAAGTTACCCTTTGGGTTCTGTAGGATGTTACTGTGAAAAAAAAAAAAACTCAAAGCCTCTTTGAAAGGTTGTTGACACCAGTTTTTGAAAGACAAGGGACTTTAAGAGTCGGTTGAAATCCTTCATCTCTTTGACAGTTTCCTTCATAATTTGTTTTTGGAGTTGAAATTGTTTGAAAATGTACTTCGATAAGCTCATCAGTCACCTTTCTAAAGAATAAACAGAGCTACCTAGGGTGATTGAGCACCTGCCAAAACATTTGAGGAATTTGAAGTGGAACATTTTGTTGAAATGGGAATCCCTTTTGTGCACATACGATATCTTTTAAAGTGGTCATCAAACAATTACAGTGTATGTGTCTTTTATCTGGTACTAATTATAATTTGGAAAAGGCTTACAGGTATGTTTATTAATTAAAAAATATCTGCTCGACAGTTTTACTTTTTATATTAATCAGATCAATTGCAAGCTGGAGCATCACAATTTGAACATAGTGCAGCAAGGTTGAAGCGAAAAATGTGGTGGCAGAACTGCAAGGTAAAGTAAACGCTTGAACTTCCACAAGTGATTAATAAAGAATTTCTCCTTACAATATCAATACAATACCTAGAAGATACTGTAAGTGAAGGGAATAAAGAAAAATATTAATTAGGAGATTATTAGTTGATCAAATATCAAATTCTCCATACTAATATCATAAGAAGTGTATGGTAGACAGCAAGGAGAATTACCTATGCGATCTTTGAAGTGAAAGGGTTGTCATACAATTGTACTTTTGATACTGAAGTTTTTTTTTCTTCATTGAAGTTCAGAACCCACCCCAATGACACAAATGATCATGATCATAGCAATCATACAGAAGCTACCTTTACAGTGGGACTACTGTTACTAAAGTCACTTTAATTTACAAATCTGTCAAATATACTTTGACCTTCATTTGAATTCTTTGTCATCTTTGCTTACTTTGGTCCTTGGCACAAATTGGCCCAATGGAATCTAGCAGGAATCACAATTCACTTCCCATGATTTGACAGCTTAATTTTGTCTAAATTACTTTAGTAAGGGTAGAGGCACTCTAAGACACTTTCACTCTGTAGTGAAGTACTCTATATCATTGAGATTTTTGTGGTTACAATTATCATTACATGACAAGATAGGCACTGAAAAGTCCCTTTTGTATAAATGCTCTTTTTGCTGGATAATTTCCAGAAAGTGTGGATACCAATTGGAAACATCAGGCTTGACAAAGTTATAGAGTGCACGTCTGATTTCCATAGTTAAGTGTGTTGTTTTTATTTCATTCTGTCAGATGTGGATAATTCTTATTGTGGTGATTGCTGTAATCATTGCAGCCATTGTCAGTAAGTCAATCAAGATTTCATCCTTGTTTCTTCATTATGGTGGTTAAATGTATATTATTCCAATGCCATTTGTATGATTTTTGTTGGGTTCTGATACAATGACTGCTTAAAAGCCTAAAAGATTAAAAAAAAAATAGGATGTTTTACAAAAATCCCAGGTGCTGTTTGTCGTAATAGTTGAAGAGCTATATCTTGGGTACTTAGGGAACAAGTTACCTTCATTCATGATGTTATAATGTCATCCATGCCTCTGTTCACAAAGTATGTTGTACAACACATACCAATGAATTGCCAGGGAAACACAGGCAAAATCAGCAACATGTATTTCTACACATTGACCAAGCTTTTAAAACCTAGACCTTGTGAACCCTTTCTTCCAAGCCATCTGCTCACATAAGGGAACTAATTACTTTAATCTTAAGCTTGTAATTGATTGATGCATTAGTTTTTAAGGTAGTTGATGATGATATTTTTTATTTTCTGACTTGTTTTGTTTTTTTTCAGTTTGGGTGGTAGCAAACAATCCTGGTAAAAGCAACCCTACTAGTGCTCCTACTACAAAACCTTAACTCATATTTGATATAAACTATTCTTACTACTGACTTAAGGATCAAGGTTCTTTTTTTTTTTTTTTTTTTTTTACCTTAATTAATAAAAGCATTATTAAGTAGTTGCTGTACATATGTCGTAATGACCAGTAGTTAAGATATATCCTGTTTGAAAATTACATCCAACTGTTTTGAAATGAAATAAAAGTTATTGTGGTTTGGAGTAATGCTAAGGTCAACCTTTAACTCCAGAGATCCAATGGGAAATTCTCCCTTTTTGGTGATGAGCATTACCCTGTAAATTAGTGAAAAGAGTTTCACATGATATCAAGGCAACATCCAGCTGTTTGCTTGGCATTGTCTTGAAACTGTAAGGAGAAAGTACTTGTTACTTTGATCTTGCCTGAGACTTGAATGATGAACAACTTCTAGGTCAAAACTTGTTAACCTTTTAATTCCCACAAGTGACCAAGACAGAATTTCTCCCTACAATATCAATACAATATCAAGCAGACAAGTAATGAGAATGAAGAAAAATATCATTGAGGGCATGATTAGTTGATTCACCAACAAATTCTTTGAACAAACATCACATGGCAGACACTAAGGAGAAAAAATAATGACATCCTTGGAGGAAAAGTGTCAAGACATAATTTGATGAAGGAAGTGTACTGAGGGGAGGGTAGATACATGCAAGGGGGAGGGAGGAGGGAGAAGGAAATATGTAAGAATGACTGATTTGAAATTGCAATTGCACTCACAGCTATGAAACTTGTTCTCCCACTGTGGGATCACAGAGAAAATTGTTTAAGGAACCTCTGGATTGTGTAATAATGCTTATAGGCTTGGTCTTTTTTGATCTTTGCTTTTGGTCTGTGTAGGGTGATATAATTGTTTTGCACAGTTTCCACAGATTATAGCCCTTCTATTCAGTAAAAATTAAAAAATGGCCTTGACTAGTTCCCCAACCAAAATGATAGCTTTTCTTTTTCAAAAGTTTTTCTTGTGCATGGAGTGGATGACTTTCTACCCAGGTCTCCTTCAGGAATATGTCAGTCCTATAAATGTCTCTCATGGAATTCTTTAAGTCTAGAAAAGTACTGTAATGATTATTGTAGCCTTTGCGTAAAACTGACTTTACTATTCAGTACCTTATTTTTGTCATATTTAACCCAGTAATGTAGTTAATGTAACAGTGCAACTAAGAAAATCGTAAATTAACTAAACCTTGAATATCTTTGGTAAAAAAGCATCTAGTAAACCTTGGACCTGAAATTTAAGTAATTAACTACAGTGGTTGTAATTTCAAATTTCTGCAGGCATTTTGCAGAAATAGAACATGAATAAAAATTTGCTTTACTGTAAGCTTCATCCATTTACTCCAGAAAGTCCCCAGACACGTCATTCATAATTTTACACCCTCCAAGAATTTAATGTTTTAGATTATAGTAAATGTACAACCAGGTTAGTGGCATTGATTTTCCCTTCCTTACATCTCTGAAATAAAACACTTTTTTTAACTATGTAATGACTTTTTGTTTATTTGTGTCTTTGCTTTGTATTTTTGTTTTTGTTTTTGTTTTTTTTGCTCCCAGAGATAACAAGGATAAGATTGGGAGAGATGATCAACTTAAACTGTTGTTTGTTCTACAAAGTAACATATTGACTGTCTACACCGTGAATTTAAATTACTCTTTTACACACTCCCCTCCCATTAAACATATTCTTAAAAATTGAATTTAACCCTTTTCTCCACAAAGAGTGATAAGCATCCAATTTCTCCCAACAGTATTACCCTTTGATCAAACATTAAGATCATAAAGATAAAGGAAGTGATCACAAACTCAAGAAGCTCTTGATTGTTAGACAAATTGTCCTTGTAAGTATTGTAAGAAATGTATAAAGGACAGTATCGAGAAGTCTTATGGTGATGTTAAGGATGTAATGGGTTAACTGAAATTTTTGCACGGTTCTGACCTCTTGAGAGGTGCACAATATTGCTGCTGCTGTGAAGGAAACTGCTCTTTGTTGCTCAGTGATTTGTGTCTAATGTGCCAGGATGTCATCAATGGAAAAGAGTCCTTCCTTCACTCTTCCCAGTCCCCCATAGTTTTTCTATTCTTTTGCTCACTTTTCTGCTACTCTTTAAAAACCAATTCCATAGAACAGACTATCCCCACCCCCTTGTGCATTTATGTTTAGGAAGAAGGGAAATTATGAGCTTAATTTTACATTGTTTTTATAACATGGTTGTCACAAAATTCAAGACAGTAAGAGAAAATTATCAATAATTGTTGATAAATGCCCTAGAAAATATTTATTCATTCCAGCACAGGTTCAGAGAATGTAAATCTGACATCTGCCATTTTCACTCAAACAAATTGCTGTTTTCTTGCCGCTTCCAAAAAAAGATTGTCTTTAAGTTTCAACCTACTTTCCATTGAGAGATTACAACCCTGAAGGCCATGTTTGGTGAATAATTTTTAAAACTAAGTATTCTAGGAATAACTTTGTTTATAATAACAAGAGGAGGATAACAAGATTGGAAAATTTAAGAACTTTTTGGGATAGTCTCTGTCTTTTTGCTGATGAGGACCAATTTAGGAACATATTCAGTAGCAGATCCAGACCTTGAGCTAAGGGGGGGGGGAAGGCCGGTTTTTCGTCGACTGCCCTGCCGGCTTTTCTTCCTTCTCTAATTCTTTTTTTTTTTTTTTTTTTTTTTTTTTTTTTTTTTTTTTTTTTTTCAATCCAAAATAAAGCGTCCGGGGCCGGGCCTCCCAGGCCCCTCCTCTAGATCCGCCATTGATATTATAATCGTTCATCTCATTGTCCACTTGGAGCATCACGTAACCGGTGAAAAATTTCTCAGTTGTGACCAAAGAAGGAATTTTTTCGTTACAATTTCAAAACATTTCAATCAAAGGGGCGATGAAAAAAGAAATTTTGAACTGTGGGATACTATTTGAATTAACATCGGAATATCAGAGCTGAAGTAAAAAAATAGAAATGGTCTAGAATTGATGCCTAGATCGTGGGGTTTGGGGGGTGGAGGGGGGAAATTAGGATTGATTAATGAATGGAGGAGTGGCAAGGGTGGGACAGTTTAGTACACTTGAAATGCGATATTTGAAGTAGTCTTTAGTCCAGAGCAGCCTTGGGAAATTTTGCTCGCAGGCTCAACTTAGCGTCACTTGCATTATAGTAGGGAGCAGAGATGGCGGCAGGCAGGTGTGTTATTTGCCGCAAAGTGAAGAAGTGATTTCCTCCATGACTCTTAGTTATCATCCAATAATCTTGGCCAGATTAATTTCGAAGGGCCATCAACTAGCATGAGCACAAATTGGCCACTGGATTGCAGTGTGCGAAGCGATGACATCGTTGCGCTCTCTTGCCGGGCGATAAATTTGGCGGTGAAATCTCCTTGGAAATCTTGGAATGACAGCCGAACAGGACTTTAGAGAGCAGTCAAACACCTCGGAAATCGCTCTTCCTGACAAATTAGCGAAAATCAAGAAAGCTGATGACTTCGCGGCGATCAAGTACAAATGGAACAGTAACGAGGTAGCTTGACGTTCATTCTCTTCTTAGTTTCCGTTCAGTTGAGGCCTTCGTTCGATTCAATCTCACTAAAATGTCATCTCTGGTCTTTAATCAATGTCAACGAGACTTGAAAGTTTTTTTTGTACATCTTTAGAAACAGGGCTTTTATGGTGTTTCGCTTTCGATTTACCATCAGTGTGTTTGATCTAAAAACTTCGATAAAACTATCCCTTATGTTATGAATTGGATAATTTCAAAGCTCGAGTGCCCATACGTGACATTTGACAGTTAACCCTGTAGCTTCACGTCGAATATTTACTCTTCTCCAATAGTTTAATTCTTAAGGTAATAGTCTTACACAGATGAGAATGTGTAGAATAATAATGAGCTCTGAAATTTGGTTCGCTTTTTCCTGCCTACAGAGATGATAACAATTTTCTCCAGATGTTGAGTTAAGCTGTATCTTTCCTCAACGAACACGCGTTCAGACGATAGTTAAACAAACATTTTCGCGGTTCATCGGCCCTGATCTTGGTCTTTTTCATAAACCATCTAGTACTACATTGCTCGGAAAGCTCATGAAACGTTTATATCAAGATAAAAATTTGGTGGTGTACACAGTGGTGGTACGTTAGAAAAACTACTTGTTTTTATCTGGCGACCTACGCAAATGTTTTGTTTGATGATTGACTGCTTAAAATCTCAACTTCGGTTTATTTTGCGTTCCGCCTTAGCGAATTTCAAATTGTGTTTGTTAGGAAAATTAGCAGTGTGGTCTCCAACCGTTTCTAGGAAAAATGTTGCAAGAATTGCCTGTAGGCCTTTCCTATTCAAAAATTTTTGCGAAATGAATATTTTATTGCTCGTCTCTCACTCATTTTCTTATCCATTAACCCACCCACTTGAGCAAAATAATTTGCCAAAACTGAAAATAACTTTGTGGAATTGTTATTTATTATTGGTGAGAATAAATCTTCTGGCAAGAAATGGATTTCCTATTTTCTTCTAAGGAATTAAGCTGATGTGTTGGTGGTTTTAAGTCTCAAAGCTGGACAACATTCTTTCTGCATTTTAATTCATTAAGTTTTCCTTCCAGACCATACATTTATTATTCATGAAAGTCTTAAATAGATTTCCAAATTTTAGTCTTATCAGCTTATTTTGTAAGTTCTATGTGGCATGTTTTAAATTTATGATTTTTTAAAAAGACGGATTTTAGAGTTCTTACATTAGATAATGACCAAGCCAAGACAGCATTTAGATAAATGGTAATACCTTGGCAAGCATCTTTTTCATATTATTATTGTTTTTGGTTTTCTAATTGGCTTATTGTCTTGTGGGAGTACTAAAGGTGCCTGCATTATCCATATTGAACTACACCTGTGTTATTATTGGAACTCTGATCATGGTATCATGTGTATTATATGCATCAAATTCTTGAGTTTTTAATTAACAAAGCAAAACTTCTTCTACACGGCAACAATATTTTGAATTAAGATTCTTGGGATTTTAAAATATCTGATTGAAACTTTCAGTGTGCAGACGGGAAATGAAAAGTTATATTTAGTACTGTTCTGTAGTCTTCTTACAACACGGTAAATTAAGTTAGATCTTTGTCATGCAAAAATTTCCTTTTCAATTCTGCATATTTAGCATTTGTTTATTGCTTATAATTGTCTACTTTAGGTCTTGCTATCATAAATAGTTGGCAGATATAGCTTTCTAGACATCTTAATCTGTATTCAATGGCGGCTTTGATCATTTTTTTTTTTTTTTCATTTTAAACTTATGTTTACCAATAGACAATCCTTTTTTTTAAGATCTCCCTAAATTTGAGTTCTTGTTGGAAACTGTCTGATATTTTAGCTATTCTTAACTTGATTGACATTAATAAGTGAATTTGTTTGAATAAATCTATACATAACCAAACAAACATGTATGTAGCACATGTTTTATCGACCTATATATGGTACTGTTCGACACGCTTACTACGAGACGTTTAGTGTGTGTTTCTTTTGAATAAACCGAGAGTTGTGAGTGGGAGTTTTAAAGAGCCATTAAATCAAGTGGATAAACTGTGATTTAATAAGGAAGCATGGTACAGCTTTTTCACTTTTTCGACATTCTGTTCTGGCACCTTGGATGTGTTTCTGGAGAGTCCCAATCACTCTACCAACCAGAAGCCTTATGTTAACCCTTTACACCCTAACATCAGTATGCATATTCTCCATTCTGTTCATTATACATTTCCAAATGTGTGATTCAGCGGTGATATGGTGGGAAGAAATGAGATGCTAATCACTCATATGAGTTAAAGGGTTAAAATTTAGTTTCAACTTTACTGTGTATCTGGTCTTTGCTAAAAAACAATCCACTCTGTTTTGTTTCCTGGTATTGTATTGTTTGTAATTCAAACTATCTGTGCTTGGATTTTGAAAGTAAACACAACAAATAAAAACCAGTATTTTAGGACTGTTAACCATCATCAAGGAAATTACTCATATTTTTTGTTTTCTATTTTAGGAGGTTTTGTCTTTGTTAACAAGCCTTAGCAACCATGAAACCTGGGTGACAAGAACAGTTCCTGACAGGTAAAGTGAATCAGTTAAAGTTTAAAAGGATAGATATATTGTAGCTGAGCAGTTCTGAGAGGCATAGTCACTGGAGAAGTCTGGCTGAGTCACTCTTCATTCAGTCTTGTCCTCAGAATTGTAATTATTTCTTACATACTGAATGAACAACTGTGAAAGTAAATTGTTCATCCAATCAGAGACACGAATGATAGTTCTTCGTAGGTGAGGGCAAGAAATGGCTTCCAATCTTTGAACGTGTTGGTCAGTGAGACAAAATTTCAGTGTGTATGAAATAAAAACATCATACCACGGAAACTACTTGAACAAAGTTTATTCTCTTGATGCAATGCATGGAAAATTCTCACTTATTTGCTGTGCTCACTTGTTTATTTCTGTTATGCATCACAACTTGTGAATGAAAATTTTTTTCATTGGCCCTGTCCATGAAATAATCTCTATTTGCATGGGTCAACTCCATAGACTGAGGTCACCTGTTAGAACATATCTTTTCTGACCTACTCAGGAACTGTTTGTTGTTTTGTTGGACTGTTTGGATGTTTAACCCTTTAACTCCCAGATCAAATATGTAATTCTCCTTACTGTCAACCATACAATTCTTATAATGCTAGTTCAGAGAATTTACTGGATCAAATAATTATTCCCAAATTGATATTTTTCTTTATTCTCATCACTTATCTGGTTGATATTGTATTGATATTGTAAGGAGACATTCTGTCTTGGTCACTCATGGGAGTTATGGGGTTATTGAGATATCCATATTAATATTGTATGGAACTAAACACTGGTTTTTAGACTACTTTGTACAAGCAATTAATTTTCATATGTACACATGATTTAATTGCACACCAAAAGATATGGGTCTAAACAGCATGATTCATCTGGCAGGCCCTGAAGGAAAACATTTTTTTCTGCCTAGTGGATGACTGGTTAATGTTTGCTTTGATGTTATCTGTTCATCCAAGTGTACAGTTTTCACAGGCTTTGCTTTAGGAAAACTATGAGTTTCTAGGACTATCCATTGTGTCTGAAGAAAACTATCCACATGTATTTTTGCACCTAAGGGAAATTATTGAGTACAAATATGTAATGTAGTGTTTTAAATTTTACTCAAATAATTAAGGGAAAATAATATTTTTTTCCTAACAGGCCTGAAAATGGATCCATGTTTCTCTTTGATCGAAGCAAGGTAAAGCAGAGCACTTTTTCATTTGTAGTTAAATTAAATACGCGCTTACCTTAAAATATACCATTATTAAAGATTAAAATTTTTTTTTTGCACCAAATTTAACCTTATCATTGTGTGGCACTGGCTGTAGCTCAATCTCTTTGTCACAAGAGACAATAAAAATAAAGAAAATGAACAGAAGATGGGAAACCTAGAGTTGTCCCTTAAAGCATATTCTGAATGGGGAATCATTTCACCTATCACGATCTCTTCCAGATAAATTATGCTCTCAATTCCGCTGAAAACTGGGAAATGGCTACTGTACCAATTTCTCCTAAATGCCTTTTGAATACCAGTAATTTTTTCTATTTTCTAACAGCCCTTAGAGTTAAATCAAGGGAAAGTATTGGCCTAAAAATGGTAGACTAGTTAGCTGTTTTTGCTTTATTTTTATTTTTTGGCCACTGGCTCTTACTGATAGGGTTGTCCAACTTTTTATTTTCTGTATTTTTGATCTTAATAGACTCAGGTGAACGGTAAAAGTCAGAATGGTGAATGAGTTTTACCAAGATGCTTGTAACAAAGGTTTCAAACAGCACAAAGCTGAATGTTGTTATGATTCCTCTGCCTGATGTTTTTTTTCTTGGTCACTAATCTTTTGATATATTGTCTAGGTTAAGAATTATCGTAAGGATGGTTATACATGGAAAAAGAGGAGGTCAGGAAATACAATAAGGGAGGATCACACAAAACTAAAGGTCGACGGAATTGAGGTAACTTTGTCACCTCAAATGAATAGTATTTATTGTAGTTAGGAGTGAATATTAACTATTTTCTTCTATCAGTATCAACCCTAAAATAAACATTTAAGTCATGAGAAGAAAGGAAATGATCAGCAGAAAACAGAATGGAGAAAATGTATATTGATGTAAGGGTGTAAAGGGTTGAAAGAATGTACTTAGGTGCTTCTGAACTGAGAGTCGAGAAACCAAAACCAAACAAATCACAATGGCCAGTGTGAGTGAGAGGAAATATTTTTAAGAGCCAACAAGAACCCATAATGCTGGAAACTTGGGTGACCAACACACATTGGGTTTTCTAGTACTGCTCAGATATGCGTTAACCAAAAAATGTACATACAATATAACATGCCAAAAATCTCTAGCAAGTTTTGCATCTGATTGGCTGAGAGGATGGCTCAAGTCCTCTGGACCAATGACATAGCAAACTAAAGCAGAAATAAAGAAATCCTTGATCACTTTAACTGTTCGGTCAAAAATTGCTCTAAAACCCCTTTTTGGAAAGAGAGATGGTAGGCAAGTGGCTAATTTGCTTTATATTGAGGAGTCATAGGTTAAGTCATTGAAAGGTCAGTGTGTTATGTTCTTGAGCTAGACATGCTACTCGACAGTTTCTCTCTCAAGCAAGAAGTAAAATTTGTTACAACCAACTTTTAGGGAAGTTTCCAGAAATAACTGGGGTTTACTTGCTATAAATAATATCCTCTCTTTGTACCTTGCAAACTGTGGTAAACTTAACTTGTACTGGACCATTACACAGGAAAGACCTTAACTGCGACCTGTAACTTGTTGTTTAGCAATAAAAGATGGAGTATTTAAGCAATTTGCATATTTTACCTTGCAGTGTTTGAGTGTACTATACACCCATTCTGCCTTGGTACCAACATTTCATCGTCGCTGTTACTGGATGCTGCAGGTACTCTCCAGTTGCTACGTAATTTTTCTATCTTGATTTCTAGGAAATTACTTTCTCTGTTCATCCCTTACCATATTAAGCCATTAATTTCATCCTATGTGCCATGCCTTTGGGTTGGAAGGGCTACATATATTTTTACAACCCTGACAATGAGGCCCTTTATCATGTTTCTTATCCTCTGTTTTCTGCCTCAATCACAATTACAGCTGTAAGGTGTCAGGTAAAGAATACAACC